GAGGACAGTTTGCCAGATGGGCTTTGGAGGTTGTGGTTTGAAGTGGCAGCCAGTAGATATGGTATAAAGGGTTAAAAAAGTGGATTGGATTTCAGAGCCAAGTCCCTTTGGGATTAAAACTATTCTATGGTTTGTTATGGCAAATTGGGTCGGTGGAAAATTCTGTCATAGTGAAGGATGGGTGAACAAATTCCTTTGTGGGACCCAAGTCCCATATTTTGTTTAAAAACTTACTTAAACGGGCGCCGGTGGCTCACGCCTGTAATCCTAGCTACTCAGGAGGCTGAGATCTGAGGGTCGTGGTTCAAAGCCAGCCCAGGCAGGAAAGTCCGAGAGACTCTTATCTCCAATAAACCACTATAAAAACCGGAAGCGGCGCTGTGACTCAAGCAGTAGTGCGCTGGTCTTGAGCTGAAGAGTGCAGGGACAGCGCCCAGACCCAGAGTTCAAGCCCCACGACTGACAAAAATAAAATAAAAAACTTACGTATGGTGTTTAGAGGTGTGGCTTAGGTGGTAGAGCACCAGGTGGTGGAGCAAATAGATCCGATAAAGAGTTTGAGTCCCACTCTCAGACAGAAAGAAAAGATATAAAAATGTACTTACGGTTCTTCCATCCACGTAGCTCCTTGACATTATTTTAATGACTACGTGCGTATATATTGGGGGGCTGTGGCCTCTAGCCCACCTACTTTAGAGCAACAGACCAATGTGCCCGCTGCCTCCTGGTGGCGGGGACTGGTGGTGCGCCGGGAGGGAGGCCGGCCGCTGCCCCCTGGTGGCCGGGACCGGCAGTGAGTCAGGAGGGAGGCCGGCCGCTGCCCCCTGGTGGCCGGGACCGGCAGTGCGCTGGGATGGAAGGCCACCCCTCCGTGGGTCGTGGAGCCACGTCTTGGCGCGGTCAGGGGTGGAGACCTCCCAGGTGCCGGGCCCAGGGGGAGGAGGGCAGGCTGACAGGCCGCCCCTGTGACACGCACAGAGACCGAAAGCAAAACCTGGCCATTTAAACCCGAGTGTGCGCAGGCCGTCGGCACGGGGTGTGCCTCACGGCCACCCTGGCAGGAAAGGCCG